GGGTGATTCCTGAGGTCATTTGAAGCAACTTTTCCCTTTACGAAAATTTTCTCCGAGGCGCCGTTGACGAGATATTCAAGAAAAACGGTGCGCCAATGAGAGGCGAGCTCGGCTGGCGCGAGGCGGCGCCAAAGCGACGGGCGGTCGAAGCACGGTTCCGCTCATTGGCTCGGCCGTTTAGAGCTAGTCGAGCTCGCCTCTCATTGGTCAGCGTTTTTCGTTGGTAACTCGTAAACGAAGCCGCGGAGAACATTTTTGTAAAGGAAACAGTTGCTTCGAATCATCTCAGGAACCATTTCCCGGAAATAACATAATTCTAGGAAACTCTGTTCAGTATGGTAATACAGTTTCCGTACCTGTCACAATTTTCAAAAGAGAAAATATACTTTAATTAATATATATTATAATAATAATACTAATAATAATAATATTATAATAATAATACTATTATTATACTATACTATATATTAGCATACTATATAATAAAGTATAGTATACATTAGTATTAGTATTAGTATAGTATACTATATAATTACTACTACTACTATATATTAGCATACTATATAATAATGTATAGTATATGTATATTAGTATTAGTATATATATATAAATCAAAGTATATAAAGTATTAGTATTAGTATAGTATACTATATAATTACTACTACTACTATATATTAGCATACTATATAATAATGTATAGTATATGTATATTAGTATTAGTATATATATATAAATCAAAGTATATAAAGTATTAGTATTAGTATAGTATACTATATAATTACTACTACTACTATATATTAGTATACTATATAATAGTATTAGTATATATACACGACTTAAATTTATATATAAATATAAGTTTAGAAGCTGAAAGTGAGTTTCCTCGTTCGGATAGGAATCTTCGAGTGCTCTGTCCACGCGCGCGAGCGATTTCCGGCAGCGGCGGCCGTTTAAAACTCCGTCGAACGCCGCCAATGAACGCGGGCCCGCGTCTCCCGCGTTTCCGAAAGCCGAACGAAAGGGTATCGCGATTAAGATTAATATCAGATTGCCGGGGAAATTACAGCATCGCGGAGCGACGTGGACCAGGGGCTCTCCGGGTAAATAGAAGGCGGTCGAGAGAGCATGGTCCGCGGCCGGGGCGGCGGCCCTGTGTATATTTAAGCGAAGCCGACTTTCGTGGAATGCGCGACCTGGTTTTATGGAGGTGGTGTGCAAACTGCATAGAAAACGCGACGTTTTATAATGTATACTTCAATTTCCGGGGCCGGGGCGGCGAGTCCCGGCGTTTGCTCATTAGATTACGCGGCTGAATTGCACAAACGAGGAATCCAGAGGGTGAAAGTTTCGCCTGCCGTGCCGCCGGTTTTCCTCGGGACAGAAGTCGCGCCGTGTCAGCCTCAAGATTCTCGAGTTCCTTTCCTCGATCCGACGACTCGACGCGACTCGACGCGAGGCAACGCGAGGCAACGCGAGGCGACGCGACGCGACTCGAGGCGACTCGACGCGACGGTTTCCCGTGCCCGCCATGGAGACGGGGCGTAACCAACGATCCTTCGGCGCCCCCTCTGAAAGAACGTTTCAGAGAGTGGCTCCCATTTTCTGGCAGCCCCGAGACCGCAAGACCCTCCGCGTTTTCGGCAATTAAGCGATCGCTCGGATCTTTTCATATGCCTCGACAAATAGCGCGCAGACTTCTCGATCGAAATTGGTCCAATTTGACCGGCGATAACTCCGCCAAAAATCATCGCAGGACGATGACTCTCCTTATAGAAGAAAGCTTGAAATCTCTGCTTTAAGATGGCTATTTTGGATTTTATGTTCGATTTGTCTTCGTCGCTATGATCCTTGAAATGCGAGGGCGTATTGAGAATTAACAAGAAAATTGTCACATTGAAAATTGCCAAGTTCGACGTGACGCACGGACTTTGTAAAATTTTTCTCGGAAGTACCATTTGCACCAGGAAAAAGTTCAATTCTTTCGCTTTAATTTAAGATAAAAGAAACTCAGCTGCGATTTTTTTTCGCGAAGTTACAGTACTTTAAAGTAACCCTTGCATTTATGTAGTTAACACCGCGTAAAAATCGTCGTAGAATACAAGGGTTGCTTGAAAGTGCTGTAACTTTGCGAGAAAAAATCGCAGCAGCGTTTCTTTTTTTTTAAATTGAAGGAAAGAAATGAAACTTTGTTCTGCCCTAAACGACATCTCCGACAAAAATTTTCCAAAGTCTGCGCGTTTCGTCGAACTTGGCGAAAATAAGAATCGCCAATATGGTAATCATGTCCTCACATTTAAAGGGTTAAAATAGCGAGAGTGCATCGGACCTAAAATCCAAAAACAGTGTCTTAAAGTAGAGATTTCAAGCTTCAATTTAAGATAAAATTCATCATCCTACGACGATTTTTCGCAGAGTTATCTTCGATCAAAGTTCGCCAATTTCTGTCCAGAATTTCATCCATTTTGTTAAACATTTAACGTTCTTTATCAATATCAATTATGAAAGCATTCGTGCTTACAACAATTGACACACCCTCATGCATACCAAAGAAGTCCAGACATCAAAATTCACGGTCGATGGCGAGCGTTCGCTTTTTACTCGGTCAAGATTCGTTCGATCTTACTCGAAAGTGACCGATGGTCGACGGTTTCCTGCGACGCGTTCGAAGAAACGTATCCGCGCGTATAATTTATCTTCCTTTTAACGAGGATTAATTAATTTCAGCAGTTTTGTGTCCGAGCAAAGTTTCCCCCGGCTTTTCGAGCTTCATTATCCCCGACAGACCACAGAAAATTGATATTCCACTTGGTCGAAATTACAGCCAGCGCTGGACGTGAATATTAATTGTATTCGCCGTTTCTCTTCCGTCCGTTTCGAATTTTTCTTCGCTGCTCGCGAATAAGGACATTCAATCAGGCCGTTTGATAAACTTCCCTCTTATCGCGGCACTGCGAAGAAGCGATTTCGATAGAATAGCTATTCTGGGAACGATTTTCCGCGACGCTAATGGTACCGAGATCCGAATGCGACTGGCACGTGTATTGCCGCGTCCGAATTAAAAGCCTGAATTTATCTAAATTTTTTACCATTTCTATAATAGCATATTCTTCACGGCATATTTTTAGTAGCACATTTTTAATGGCGTATTTTTACAGCATTTTCTCTATATAGAAAAATATATGCAACAATTTCCAATGAAAAACAGCACTGTGATTTCAATAATTATAAAATCGAGTATTCAAATCAGACGTTCATTAGTCTACTTTTATATTTTCCATTATTGTTTTCTTGTCTATTTAAATTGCACGATAGGGTTCTATAGTCTGCTCGACAAATAAATAAATGAATAAAATAAAAAATGTGAAACCAAGGGTGCTACTTTTGTTTTTGCATCAAACGACACGTCTGCTACATTTGTTTAAATTGTATACAGTCGGTGTAAGAGGCATCGTA